TCAACCATTTTTTAGGGTTTTCTTCTCCCTTTTTTTTTGTTTTGTGTTGTTTGTAAGATAATAGGGGTGTTGGGTTATGGACTGGGTCGACCCAGTTCGAAATGGACTGGGTCATAGGGAAGGTTGGGCCATTTTTTGGGCCTGTGGCTTGAAATTGAAGAAGAGACCCAATTCCGATTTTTGTATTTTTGTTTTCTTTTTTCTTCTTTTATTTATCTAAAACTAAATTATAAAAATACTTAAATTATTATTAAGAACTAATATAAAAGCGCAAATTAACTCCCAATAACAATTAACGCACAATTAAGTAATAATTAAGCATAAAATTGTATATTTGGACATTAAATGCTAAAAATGCAAACGATGCTTATTTTTTGTAATTTTAATTACTAACAATTGTAGAATTAAATCCTACATGCAAAATGCGACATATTTTTGTATTTTAATTAATCTAACAAATAAACATGCACAGACAAATACAAATAATTATTCAAAAATATCACAAAATAATCACAAAATTGCACACCAAGGAAAATTATTTTATTTTTGAATTTTTTGGGAGTAATTCTCATATAGGCCAAAAATCACGTGCTTATAGGGGGGGGGAAGATTCAGACAATATTATATTATTCAAACCCCACTTCCGGACCGTTAGATCAATAGAGATCAACGGTCCAGATCAAAAGAACGAAACGATGTCATTTTGATTATGATGGAGATTGGACCAGGTAGGAAACAGATTCTGGGCTGGGTCAGGCGGGTTTAAAGGGTGATTTGGTTTGGTCCTGGGAGAATTCAAATGAACTGGCCCAAAATCTGACTTCTTCCAACTCTTTTCCTTTCTTCTTTTCTTCTTTTTTCAATTTTATTTTCAAAAATTCTTTTCTTTTCAAAAAATAAAACCTAAATCAATTCCTAAACAAAATTATCCTACCAAATTGGATTAATTACTCAACATAATACTTACCACAGCTAATTAATTACCAAATTAAGAAAAAAATGCAAAATCCGAAGCTAAATGCAAAAAGTGAGTTATTTTTGTGATTTTTCTATTTTGTAACACAAATAAATTACTAATTCATTTAAAAATTCAAAATTAAATCCTAAATACAAATGCAATGTTTTTTATTTTTGTATATTCATGAATGAAATAAAATAAATGTGCACAGACAAATGCAAGCAATTAGTCAAAAAAATGCTACAAAAATCCCCGAGATTGCAAACAATGGGAAAAATTTATTTTGTTTGAATTTATGGGAATAATTCATATAGGGCAAAAATCACGTGCTCACAGCTGCCCCTCTTTGCTCAGAAACACGAAGAGTTTTTGTGCAAAGATAAAGTGAGCGTATACGGGCGATTTTTGCCCGTTTGAGTACTCCCTAAGAAGCATTTTTGAAAGATTTGACCGCACCCTGCTTCTGAGGTTGCATATATATCCTTGGCTATAAAGGAATCAAGTCAGTGTAGATCGGGAAGTTTTGGTAGTTGGGACTACCATGAGCTGTGATTTCACTGTTGTTATTGCTGCTACTACTTACTGAACCCCTTATTACACCATGTCAAAATAAAAAGAAGCTAGACTAGACTATGATCAATGCATTACAAAAATCCTATCTATATCTTCAAACTTGCTCTTGTGGTTCTTGTTGCCTTGTTGACTTGTATTCTCCCGGTGAATTCCCTTTGTTGCCGACCTGAATTGTAATCTAAGATGTTTTCCCTTTCTCCAGGTGGATGCCTGACTACTGAACTTGAATTATATTCCCATGCTCTCTAGGTGGGCGCCTGACTGCTGAATTTAAATTGTATTCCCGTGCTCTCCAGGTGGGAACCTGACTGCTGAACTTGATTTGTATTCCATGTTCTCCAGGTGGGCGCCTGACTACTGGACTTGAATTGTATTCCCATGCTCTCTAGGTGGGCGCCTGACTGCTGAACTTGAATTGTATTCCCGTGCTCTCCAGGTGGGCACCTGACTGCTGAACTTGAATTGTATTCCCGTGCTCTCCAGGTGGGCGCCTGACTGCTGAACTTGAACTGCCTCTCCCTGTTCTCCAAGTGGGTACCTGATTTCAACAAAAATAGACAAAACAAAGAAAATTTGCTGCCGCATTTTGGTAGCTGGGCACATATGTGAGTGTTAAACAGATTCATATTACCAAATATTACTAAGAATTTGAAAGCTAGGTCCCGTTATCCAGGAGGGTCCTGACAGCTCATAGTTAAACGATAATTTTAAATCTAAATTATATCTCCTAAAGGTATTACTATCACTACATCTTGTTATCTAAGTCGATCTTTAGACTACACCCCATTATCCAGGAGGGTCCTGACAACTCAACAATTTTAAATATAAGTTATATCTTTTAAAGGTAGGACTTCTACTAAATCTTGTTATCTAAGAGGGTCTTAAACTACTCCCCATTATCTAGGGGGGTCCTGAAAAACAAAGTTAAGTTTTATCTTAAGAGTGACAATTTTATGGCTAAATTATATTACCCTACACCAGAACTTACGCTAAATTTTGTTATCCAATCGAAATTTTAAAGCTAGGTCCCATTATTTAGGAGGGTCCTGACAACTCCTAATTGAATCCTATCTCCAACATGCGAACTTTAGAACCATCTTATATTCCTTGGGGTACATTTATGCTAGATTTTGCTACTCATGATTGTTTTGAATTTTAAACTAGGTCCCATTTTCCAGGAGGGTCCTGAAAATCAAGAGTCAAACCTGTCTGGTGCTTGCTTTTCCCCTACGGAGGGTTTCTCCGAAACAATCGAAACTTTCTGCCCATGTTTCAATCAAAGAAAAATCTTGTCAGTTTAAAATGTGGTGGTTAGTTTGTGGCATTCCTGCTGAAAGTGGCCTCCCCACTGTCGTGCTTTGTTTTGACTGAGTTCCCCTGAACTGGCCAAGAACCGCTTGACTTCCCGACTGACTTTCAAACTCCATGACATTAGATGACCCGAGTGTTCTATACCCAAACCGTTGTGTTACATCTCTACCCTATCTATTTGAACCTCTGCATTTCCCACAAAATTACCATACCATTTCAACGATGGAACTTCTTCTGACCTTTTATACCCCATTTCACATCATACTATCTCTAGCAATGCCTTGGTCGCCCTGTGCCTTGTGCAACTTTGGAAGTTGGGAGTAAGCTTTGAAATTCCTTCTTATTTGCTTAAACATAACTGACATTGGGACCATCTTAGAGAAATAAACCCAAAAGAAATGAAATGCAATGACTTTTAGAGTTAAGGATAAGAAAAATCCAAACTGGAAGACTATCTGAATGGGAAAAAGAAAAGAGACATATCTGAGTGGAGCAGCTGGCACCAATGATCATGACATGCATTTCGAATTAATCGGCCCAAGTTGTCCAACCAATCAAATTTCAGTTGCCATACTTTATTGCCCCGGAGTTTCCATAACCTGACTTCTTCGCCAAAACCTTGACCTTGTTCAGCACGCGGTGCCCTGAAGGGTTTACACCAACAAGCCTCTCTCATTTGTTCATCTCTCAACTCACTTTTTCCTTACGGTACCCATGAGGGTTTTCACCAATAAGACTCTCTCATTTCAATTTCTCTCATCTCCCATCGCCTTACGGTGCTCGCAAGGGTTTTCACCAATAAGACTCTCTCTTTTTTCATTTTCCTGCTTGAACCAGGGTGTTGCCCCTGATATGAATTACCTTTACTTGCTCGACTTGGCATCTCTCGAAGACTGATCGAAAGGTCTTTCTTTGGACCGTAATGTGGGCTTTTGGATAAGGTTAGAAAGAAAGGGTGTCAAAGGCTCAAAACAATTCAAATGGGTTCACAATTACAACTTTCGAAATCAGATTTCTTACAACAACCATAACTTCTGCCCCAGTTTCTTTGTTTGGGGAGTTTTGGGATTTTATTTTGATGGGACCGAACCGTGAGGCTGCCTACGTATCTTTAAAAGGAATCAGGTCAAAAGTAGTTCATGACATAGAAACTGCTTTGTTGTTGTGATTCTCTCCTTTCTCTTTCTTTTCTTTCTCTTTTTCCTTTCTTCTTTCTTTCTCTTTTTGTTGTTTTGTTTGTTTGTTTTTCTTTTCTACTCTTTTTTTCTTTTTCTTTTTTTTCTTCTTCTTTTTTTCATTTTCATTTTCATTTTCATTTTTCTTTTCTCTCTTTTCCTTTACTTATCTTTCGCGCTTGCGTTTCTGATCTTTGCTACTGATTCCAAAAGAGGGGTATGAAAGGAAATAAATAAGGCTCAAAGGGGTAACTAAGGATAAAGTGTTTAGAAACCCTACACCATATACATGGAGAAGAGTTCGACCTCGATAATTCTCTGCCTTCTCTCTAGGAAGAGAAGGAATAGTAATTTCGTCATCATTTTCTGGTCATAACTCCGGCATCCGGTGGTGGAACTAACCAAACTTGGTGTCAAAAGATACATAATTTCCTTACGAATAATACCCAATTGGTTTCAACTTCAGATCTATAGTCAATTTTTGTAGATCTTAATTTCATTTTCACGAGTTACTGTAGCAGACAGTGTTCTTCATTCAATTTCAGCGATTCACTAATTCCAGCGCTACTCTTCAGCACAACAACTTGTTTTGATAATGTGAAAGTGTTCTCTTCTCTTCTAAGATTGGTTTGAATTCTAAGCTTCATTTTAAATCGAAATTACTATTTTTCACAGTTTGGACTGTGAAATTGGATTCACAGCCATAAGCAGTAAGTAACGTGAAGCTAATTCGAATTATAGTAGCATCATTTTCTTGCAAAGCTGTTGCACCTTTGTCATGTAATTAAAGTGCTAAAGAATTACAACTGTAATGGACACACAAGCAGGTGGCCAGCCACCTTTTGTGGCTGCGCTGCCTACCCAACCTCCTCCAAACATTGCACAAACATCAGGGAACACAAATAACAACAAACAGCCGATGGATTACTCCAAAATTCTGAAACCTTGCACTTTAAATGCTGCAATGCATGAGCAACAGGAAGTTGCCATTCGTCCACCTACAATATTGAATGGAGAGCATATTATTCAGTTCACAGAAGCAGAAGTAGAAAGGATGGATATCATCGAAGGATTACAATATGCAATAGTTGGTAAATGTTCTTATGGCAGCCCAAAAATTCAACAATTGCGTAAGTTAATACCAATTCAATGCAAAATTAAAGGTGAGTGTAACATTGGATTTCTAAGGGATAGACACATTTTGATTAGAATGATGTTAAGGCAGGACTATCTTCATTTCTCATCAAAAACTCATTACATAAAGGACAGGGATGGCTATCAATATCAGCTTAGGCCATTGATTTATGACTCAAAGTTTAGAGCAGATGAAGAAACACCCAAGGTAATGGCTTGGATTTCATTCCCAGGTTTATTGCCAACCTTTTTTGTGAAAGAATGTCTATTTTCTCTAGCTACAGCAGTAGGTAAACCTATGCATCTAGACATGGAAACAATTAATAAAACTAGACCTAGTTGTGCTAGGGTGAAGGTACTAGTTGATCTACTTGCAGATTTGCCTAAAACGGTGAGGATGGACATATCCAATGAAGCTAAAAGAATCAACAAGAACTGAATGGGTGAGAATTCAATATGACATGCTGCCTAAATATTGCAGACATTGTAAACTTCAAGGGCACGATCAATTTAAATGTTGGAGGATACACCCTGAACTATATGTGGAGAAGGAGAATGCTAACCAAGCAGATACAACTAAGAAGCATGACATAGGGAACCCACAGCCTATAATGATTTTATCTAGTGGAAAGGTCGTGGGTAATGTGAATGTTACAGCAAAAGAGCAATGGAAGGAAGTGAAGGAAAACAAAGTTAGAAATATAGTAAATCAAAATACTAGTCTTAATAATAATGGAATGGAGATGGCACCAGCTAAGCAGCTTGAAAACAATCAGAACAAGGAGGGTACAAGCACTATATATAGACAAGCAGGAGCATAGAGCAACAGTGGTAAGGAATTGGTGGCAGTAGACAATGAAGATAATGATCATGTTCAAGTAGCTAACAAGTTTGCAATATTACAAGGGATGGATGAAGAGGAAGAACCTGTTAATCAATTGGCAATGGTGGCAGCTAATGCAACAACAAACAGTCCAGCAGTTCATAACCAAGCATCTACAAAGCAAAAACCAAAACATATGGTCAATAATGAGGGAAAGCTAAATCCAGCAGCACAAGCTTTTCATCTTAACTCATCGGGGATTGGTTCGACTAATGGTCTAGTCAATGGAAATGAGGCATCAAAAGCAAAAAAAGATACTGCACAATGGGTAGAAAGAAGTTTCAAGGATAAAACAGGAGATGGAATAGTGAAGATCAATACATCATGCCAGGAAATCCCATCACAAGATACATTAGTGAACAAGGAACTTAATAAAACTCCAAATTCTCAAGCAGAAGGGTCAAAATCTTCTACATTTAAAGAAAGAGTGCAAGGCTGTGGAGGATGATTATCCATAGGCTGTGGAGGCAGGCTATGGGATGCACAAAGGGAATATGATTCAGAGGAGAACGAAGTACCATTAGGAGCACAAGCTGATGAGGAACCAAATGAGAAGGACAAAGAAGAAAATGAGCAAAGTGTAAATGGAGAGCCCCATGACAATGACAACAATACAACTGATAATTTTTTAATAAAGGGAGGATCAGAAAATGTTGAGCACAACAATAATTATCAGATAGCAGAAGTCACAGAAATTGGAAACTATGAAGGAAGAGGCCCAGAGGTAAATGATCCTGGAGGAACAAAAGATGATAAACTTCAGAAATCACAAGAAGACCCACAAAGACACAACACAACAGAGAAGGAGAAACGGCCAAAACAAAAAATAGAAATAGTAAATGTTACTATTACATTGGAGAAAAAGCAGTTGCAGCTGTTAAAAAGAGGAGAAGAGAAGGCCTTGGTGCCTAAAAAGAATGTATTTGGAGCTACATCAGGAGGGAAGGAAGACAATGAAGAAGGAGAAGAACCTGGTAGATCAGGATACGACATGGATCAAGAATCAACTACCCAACACCTTATGAATGCTGCAAGGCAAGGTGACTTATCACCTACGCAAGTGGAAAAGGCAAAATCAACAGCAAAAGTTAAGAAGAAACAACAAAAAGATAATTTTGCAGCCCCAAAAGCTGGGGTGAACACAAGGAGAATGCTAACTAAATCCAACAATCAGTGATGAATGCTCTCATTTGGAATATAAGGTCAGTCAACATACAGCAGGCCTTTGAAAGGTTGACAAAAATGCACATGCAAAATCACTATGAAATTGTAGGATTAATGGAGCCAAAGCAACAAGCAAAAAAACTGGAAAGGTACATAAACAAGATAGGACTTGCACATGCAATTTCAAATGTTTCCAACAAGATCTGGGCTTTCATAGATGAGGTATTTGAGGTAACTGTTATGTACAATATGGTGCAACAATTAACACTACGATTGTTTCATACTGAATCGCATGTGGAGTTTGTCCTAACATTGATATATGCTAAATGTGATGCAATTGAGTGGATAGAATTATGGGATTCATTATATGCAATGGCAAGGGATATGGATGCACCATGGCTTGTAGGAGGTGATTTGAATGTAATATGGGACGAAGAAGAGAAGTTTTGTAGGTTACCTGTGTCATTGAATGAAATTGATGACTTTCGACACGCGTCAACACTTGCAATCTCTTCGACCTTGGATTTAAAGGCAGCATATTTACATGGTGGAAGGGGAGAACAGAGGAAGACTATATATTCAAAAGGCTAGACAGATGCTTGGCCAATGTTGAGTTCCAACAAACATTTCTAGGAATAGAGGTGCAACATTTGTCAAAGACTGGTTCTGATCATAGTCCAATGTATCTGAAGTGTGATATTGAGACTCCACCAATAAAAAAACCTTTTAAGTTCTTGAATTTTTGGGTGGAACATGCGACTTTTAAAGATGTGGTGAAAGAGAATTGGACAGCTGATTTCAGTGCAAATCCTTAGATTCTTTTTAATCACAAGTTAAAATAATTAAAGAAGGCCCTTTCATTGTGGAGTAAGGCTACATTTGGAGATATTTTCCAAAAGATAGCAAGCATGGAGGAGGTGGTGCTGGTTCATGAAGCAGAATTTGAAGCAAATCCTACAGGGATGAACAGGGAAAGGCTACAAAAGGTTCAAGTAGAATTGATCAAATGTCTTGCACTAGAGGAGAAATATTGGCAACAAAAGGCAGGCATGACTTGGTTCAAGGAAGGGGATAGGAACTCTAAGTTCTTCCATGCACAAGTGAGAGGTAGGAGGAAGAGACATCAGCTTAATAGAATTCAAAATAGTGGAGGAACCTGGATTGAAGAAGAACAAGAAATTGCAGAAGAGGCTATCAAATTCTACGAGGAACAGTTCACAGAAGCAGCTACTCCTTCATCATTTGATATCATAGAGCATGTTCCTAATCTGATTAACACTGAGCAGAATGCAGAATTGATTAAGCAGCCAACAAAAGAGGAGGTTAAAGTGGCAGTACTCGGACTTAATGGTGATAGTGCTGGGGGGCCAGATGGTATGACAGGCAAATTCTATCATTCTTGTTGGGACATAATAGGGGATGACCTGTACGACATGGTGAGGGCTTTTTTCAATGGTCATGAGCTACCCAAGTGTGTAACACACACCAACCTAGTTCTGCTACCAAAGAAAAAAGAAGTTACCACTTTTTCTGATTTAAGACCAATAAGCCTCAGTAACTTTTCAAATAAGGTTATATCGAGGGTGGTACATGAAAGGCTAGTGAAATTTCTCCCAAGTCTGATATCGGAGGAACAGTCAGGTTTTGTTAAGGGCAGGAATATTGTAGAAAACATCCTTCTAACTCAGGAGATAGTGACTGACATTAGGCTTAGAACTAAGGCTGGACCTAATGTCATCCTGAAGCTAGATATGACCAAAGCTTATGATAGATTATCTTGGCTATTCCTAACCAAGGTACTGAGAAAGATGGGATTCACAGAAAGGTTGATAGGGATTGTCTTTGGATTAGTTTCAAACAATTGGTATTCTATTCTAATCAATGGTCAAGCTCATGGGTTCTTTAAGTCCTCAAGGGGAGTAAAACAAGGTGATCCTGTATCTCCAACTTTGTTTATCTTGGCAGCAGAAGCATTATCTAGGGGTCTCAATGCACTACATACTAACCTGTATTTTTGTGGATTTGGGATGCCAAAGTGGAGTCCAAAGATCAATCATTTGGCGTATGCAGATGACATGATTATTTTCTCATCCTCAGATGAAACATCTCTGATGTTGATTATGCAAGTGTTGAATGCATATGAAGTTGCATCTGGGCAGCTTGTTAACAAGACCAAATCAGTTGTATACCTGCATCATTTAACAAACATGGAAGTGGTCAGCAAGGTGGAAAGGATCACAGGCATTCATAGGAATGATTTTCCTATCATATATCTAGGTTGTCCTATATTTTATGCAAGGAGAAAGCTGGAATACTATCAGCCCCTAATTATTAAGGTAATGGACAAACTGCAATCATGGCAGGGTAAGCTATTATCAGTAGGGGCATGGCAGTTCTCATATCCCATGTACTGCAAACCATGACTATGCATCTATTATCAGCTGTAAACCCTCCAAATTATGTGATAAATAGGTTGCACAAATTGTTTGCTCAGTTTTTCGGGAGCAGCTCTGTAGGAGGAACTAGAAGGCATTGGGCTTCATGGAATACCTTATGCATGCCAGTTGAGGAAGGAGGAATAGGTTTCAGGTCACTGCATGATGTAGCAAAGGCATTATTCAGCAAGTTGTGGTGGAATTTCAGAACAAAACCAAGCCTATGGAGCTCTTTCGTATGTCAGAAATACTGTAAAAAATTGAATTCTGTAATTGTTCCATGGAAAAAGGGGTCTCACATTTGGAGAAAAATGTTGGAATGCAGAGATCTGATTGAACATCAAATCTTTTGGCAAACAAAAAGGGGATCCTCACTATTTTGGTTTGAAAACTGGACAGGTCTTGGGGCACTATATTTTTTAGTTCCTCAGGACTTTGGCATTGATGAAACTGTACATAATGTACATGATGTTACCTTAGATGGTGAGTGGGATGTGGACAGGCTATTTGAAATGCTTCCTGAAGACTTAGCAGTACACATTCTGGAGAAAATCAAACCACCTTCACCTCAGCAGGTTCTTGACATGCCTTGTTGGATGCTGGAAACAAGAGGATATTTCAGTGTTAAGTCAGCATGGGATTATATGTGAAGAAGAGACGAACCAAGAACAGCTTATAGGATGATTTGGGTAAAGGGACTGCCTTTTAAAATAGCATTTTTCATGTGGAAAGTGTGGAAAGCAAAGTTACCTTTAGATGATTTCATGAAAAGGGTAGGCTACTGTATGCCATCAAAATGTTGGTATTGTGTACAGCCTGACGAGGAATCTCTTCAACACTTGTTTTTTAGATCAGAAACTGTAAAGACAACTTGGAAGTATTTTCTATCGAAGGCAGGAATAGGTGTGGAGGGATTAACATTGCACCAAGCAATCACAAAATGTTGGACTGCAAATGTGTGCTTAAGGCTCAAACCAGTAATGCAAGCACTCCCCTCATGTGTAGTCTGGGAACTCTGAAAAAGAAGAAATAGTATGAAGTATGATGATGCTGTGACAATTTGCAGGGTGATTTATCAAGTTTCATCAAATATGCAGGCATTGGTGAAAGTGAGAAAGCCTGGGATGGACATGGTACCTCACAAATGGCAAGATCTATTAGCTATGATGGAAAATTTCACTCCTAAACTTAAGGTTACCAAAGTCATGTGGGAATTTCCAAGTGCAGGATGGCTAAAAGTTAATACGGATGGTGCATCGAGGGGAAATCCAGGCAGGAGCTCAATAGGTTTTTGTATAAGAAATGAAAATGGTGACATAGTCAAGTCAGTAGGGAAGGAGATTGAGGAGACAACAAACACAGTAGCTGAAGCGAAGGCCATGGTAGAAGCACTAAGGTTCTGCAGATTTCAACAATACTCTCATGTGTGGCTTCAAACTGACTCAATGTTATTAAAAAAGATAATGGATGGGATCTGGAAACCACCATGGATCATATCTGAGCAGGTAGAGGAAATGATGAAACTAATGAATGGGGGCAATTACACAGTTACTCATATTCATAGGGAGGGCAACAAGCTGGCAGATCACTTGGCTAATTATGCTTTAGATCATGGAGAAATAGAATGCCAACAATTCTGGCATCTAGATGCACAGGGAAGGAGGTTAGTTAATAAAGATAAGCTGCAATGTCCAAGTCTAAGGGTGAAGGTGGACAGGAGATAAGAAGCAAAGAGAAAAGGAAGAGCAGGAGGCATGTCAACTTAATCGACCAATATATTCAAATCCAAAGGGAGGAGGATATAATTGTTGGTATTTCTAACTATCTTTTCTTTTGTGCAGGTGCCACTACGAGTATATTATCCCATGCTTTCAAAAAGCCAAGAATTAAAACGCATATATGGGCCATGACTTGGGAATGTCTTGTTTTCCATCAAGACAAAAGGAACGACAAAGGCAGGCATGCCTGGAGTTTTAATTTAATACAAATGCAAGGGATCGAGGAGTCATCGTTAGAAGAAAAATTCGAGATTTTTTGCAAGCACGCATCCAGCAGCTTGATAGAATATGAAGGCATGCGCGTTGGGATAACACCACTAGGTGTAATCTTCGACAAAACCAAAAGCTGGCGCAAAAAATTGGACCACTCTTGCTGCATACATCAAAAAGAAGAGGCGTTGGGATTCCACATTCAAATGTTCAAGCATTGGAATGCATGTTTCATAATGAAGATAAGGAATCGAAAAAGGCTAAATACAAACGATTCCTTAACAAATTGGCAGAAGAGTGTAGCTGTTACTTTTGGATTTTTTATTACTGGCAAGTGCATAGGCTATTCACGCCTGGCTACATGCCAAGAAAAAAGGTCCAGATGGAATCTTTGGGATATTATTGACCAAATGCTTTCAAACATTGCATGTGGAGCTTTGCATGAAAAGCTGGACATATGCTTTTTCAAATTGAGCGCATGCTTCAACAAATGGAAAGAGGATATACAATCTTAAACGGACAAACTAGAAAAAATAACGCACGCCTGGAGTGCACATGACAGAATATTTTGGAAACATGGATCATTAAAGAAAAGGACAATGCATGGGAATCATTGTAGGCATGTGCATTACTTTGGGTGCAAATGCCAAGGACCTTGGCCCCCTCAATAGTGTGGGAATCTCAAGGGGACATCACATGATCACGTGCTACAGTATGCTACTGTATGCTACACTACCCGTATGCTACAATTACCGTATGCTACAGTGTCGTATGCTACAGTACCGAGCTACCAAATTGGTGGAGTCTACGTGAAGTTGCTGAAAAGGGGCTATTTACGCAAATCAAATTTCACTCTGGAACTGGGACGCTTTAGACTGGAGATACCACGTCGACATGGACTCACTTGGGCTATTTTTACAATTACAAAGTTTTAGTAGGCATAATGTGATATCAATTTGAGTATTATGCTCAATTTTGATAGTACGTTACATTAGAGTGCAAAGTCTATCTCCTTTCATTGAAGGAAGACAATGACAATTTCCTAATTATTGTATTTACTTTTCTATTTTTAATAAAAAAACTATCCCTAGGTGCTTTCCTAGCGGATTGAAAAAAAAAGGATAAAGTGTTTAGATAGTAAAAAAAATGCCTTCGTCATTCCAATCTTCAAAATATGCCAAGTACAAACAAATACAATTTAAACCAAAAAATCATACATAATATCTCTTGACCACATCGGAATTGATGGCCATTTCTACACATTTGCCTTCTATATCTGTTAAATACAAAGCACCATTAGACAACACTCTTGTTACGACGAACGCCCCCTACCAGTTTGGGGCGAACTTGCCTTTTGCTTCAGCCTGATGAGGAAGAATGCGTTTCAATACTAACTGACCCACTTCAAACTTCTGTGGACGCACCTTCTAATTATATGCTCTTGCCATTCTCTATTGATACAACTGGCCATGACACACTGCTGCTAACCTTTTCTCATCAATCAAACTCAGTTGCTCCATGCGGGTTTTGACCTATTCATCATCATCAATTCCAGCCTCAGCAACAATTCAAAGGGATGAGATTTCAACTTTTGCGGGTATCACTGCTTCCGTGCCATATACCAACAAATAAGAAGTTGCCCCTACTTAACTACGAACAGTAGTGCGATAACCCAAAAATTCAAAAGGCAGCTTCTCATGCCATTGCCTGGAACCTTCCACCATTTTCCGAAGTATCTTCTTTATGTTCTTGTTGGCTGCCTCGACTGCTCCATTCGCCTTGGGGCGATATGGGGTGGAATTGCGATGTGTAATCTTGAACTGCTGACATTCCTCTTTCATCAGATGACTATTCAGATTAGCCCCATTGTCTGTAATAATCATCTTTGGTATCCCAAACCGACAAATGATATTTGAGTGCACAAAATCAAACACCGCTTTCTTGGTTACAGACTTGAATGTTTTAGCTTCTATCCACTTGGTGAAATAGTCAATGGCCACTAGAATAAACCTGTGCCTATTTGATGCTGATGGCTCAATTGGCCCAATGACATCCATGCCCCACGCAACAAAAGGCCACGGTGTAGACATTGTGTGCAATTCAGATGGTGGAGAATGAATCAAACCTCCATGCACCTGGCACTGATGACATTTGCGCACAAAACTGATACAATCTCGCTCCATAGTGAGCCAATAATAACCTGCTCGGAGAATCTTCTTTGCTAGCACGTACCCACCCATGTGTGGTCCACAGACTCCAGAATGTACTTCGGTCATGATAGTTGTGGCCTGTCTAACATCTACGCATCTTAACAATCCAAGATCCGGAGTTCTTTTGTACAAAACTCCTCCACTGAGGAAAAATCCGCTCACCAAACACCGAATTATTCTCTTTTGATCGTATGTGGCTTGTACCGGATATACCCCCATCCTGATATATTCCTTGATATTGTGAAACCAAGGCTCACTATCAAACTCTTCTGCTACCACATTACAGTAAGCATGCTGATCATGGACCTGAATATGCAAAGGGTCCACATAAGCCTTATTTGGATGATGTAACATTGATGTCAAGGTAGCCAAAGCATCAGAAACCTCGTTATGGATCCTTGGAATATGCCTGAACTCTACTGATCGAAACCGTTTACAAAGATCATGCAAACATTGTCGGTACGATATGAGTTTCAAATCTCGTGTTTCCCATTTCCCTTGAATCTGGT